CAGTAACAGAGATCTCCTCTGGATTTTCAGGTGCTGCAGGCCCACGACTCTTCACAATACACCAGATTGATGCCAGCACTAATAATTTGCCGAAAGCTCATACCTGGTAAGACTTTCTCAGTTCTGTGTTGTGATCTGTACCTTAAAGACCAATGTGCTGTCAGAGTATTTGGAGCGTTGGAGATTTTGGCTTTTATGACGTAATCCAAGCTGTCCCTTAGGGAGCAGCAGAGGTGTGAAATCTGGAGATGGCTTTTGTTTAACGGAGCTGGGTGGCCTCCTTAAGCCTTGCTGGCACCATCTGCAGCCCAGTGAGGTGTGGCAGGCCTGGCAGTGATGGCTGGGGAGCTGAAACCTTCTGTGCTTTCCCCCCAGCTTCAACAGGATCGACATTCCCGCCTACGAGAGCTACGAGAAGCTCTACGAGAAGCTGCTCACGGCCATCGAGGAGACCTGTGGCTTTGCTGTGGAATGACCCTCCCAGCCTCTCCCAGCCTCTATTTATACTCCTGTCAGCCAGAAAGCCCTTCCTTCCCTCAGCCAAGACTCAAGAAATGCTTGAAATACAGGAAACTTTCCCTTTTCTACACTAGGACATTGGGAGGGAAAGGACAACTTTTGGATTTTTTTTTAAAATTTTTAAATTTTTTTTATTTCAAGAAAATAGGTTCTGTGGTTCTTGCCATAGGATCATTCAGCTGCTATTAAAAACTAATATCTTGAACATACAGAATGCTGACTTTTCCTACATTTCAACAGTTAAGCAGTATTCTATACTTAAAGACTACTACTATTTTTGTAAGAGGTAATCTATTATATTTGCCTACCTGATTTCTATTCTCAGATACCAAGACACAACTTCAGCAGTCGGTACAAGTCACGTTTCAGCCTGTTTTAAATGTATGATACTGAACAGCATCTATACCTGCTATTTTTGGAAAAAAATATTTTGGATTATTCTAACTTTGCATAAAATTGGCTGAAAGAACCATTAATCTTTTTAATGAAAGCCACTTACATGTTAACTGCATTTTCTTATAGTAAACCATTATATTCTGCAATGTAAATTCCAGGTAAATGTTGCCACAGGGGCTTTTTTTATATTTTTCAAACAGGAATTCCGAATATGTAATTTTGGGGTCCTATTTATATCACTTGTCAGATTCCTCCAGCAGAATTTCTAGTGAGTGACACAGACTATTTGGTACAGTCCTTGTGTTTACACGTGGAATAACCTTTTCTTAATGAACAGTAGGTGTTTTGATTTTTTTTTAAACAGCATTTTTCTAACAAGTCTGTCAAGAGTACTTTTTGTTGCTTTTGACCTTAAATTGAAACACTGCATTTTTCAGCTGTTGAAGCACTGATGGGCTTTGCCAGCAGAAGCCTGTCAGCAGTTTGTTCCAGAATCCATCCTGTCCAGTCAACCAAAGTTTGTTTGAATGCAGCCAAATCATATTCTGTACTTGTTGATGCTAAAGATTTATCAGGTAAAACATGTTGTAATCTCTGTCCAGCTGCTCATGACACGTGGGTTTAAGTTACAGCTAAGGAAAAATGGTGTATTGACTGAAATATGTGTAATGTGCTTTGGAAATGAGGTTGTAAGAGCACATAATTTATTGATTGTAGGGATGGAAGTAAGTATATATATGATTTATAGCATGGGTTGATCTCTTCAAAGGGGAATAAAATGCACTACCAGTAGAGGGAACTGAACTTTGGTGTTAGTTTGGAAATTCTCACTTGAGGTCTGTCTGATCTGCTCGTGGTGTGTGGATAAATCAGGCTGCTTCAGAGACAGTGCCCTTCTCCTCTCAGCCATGAGAATATTTGGAATAAGTAGCAGTTTTTTTCCAATCAGTGTTGTGTTTTTGTAACTTAGGTTACAATTAATCATCAAATCTGCACTATTTTTTCACTGCCAATGAGAAGAAAGTTGAAGGTGTTGAAAATGCTAAAGGGATGGGATGTAACCAGCTGTTCCACGTTTGCAGTGTAGGTCACAGTGAACCAGCTCATTTGCTGTCTGTTCTGTGGAGCTTAAACTAAATTCTGCTCTGCCAAGTCTGACTGCCACAGTGAGTAAACTACTACTGGATGTTGTGTGTTAGAATAGTGGGCAAGGGAATACTTTTATAGAATTGTGGTGAGAATCTGGTGAGCCAAAGCCACATGTTGGTTTGATTATTTCTTTTGTACAGCTGTTGCTGGCAGGTTTGTTCCAAGGGACTTGTTTCCCTTTCTGGGCTGGCTGCAGGATGAGGCTACTTAGGGATGTAAACAGAAAGCCAGGAGACTTGCTGTGACAGCCAGGCTTGAAACACAGCAGAGCCTTTTCATTTCAGTGGCCTCTTGCACTCCTGTTGAAGGGCTGCTACTTCTGCCTCCCTGCTGGGCTCCCCAGTGCAGGGCTGCCAGGTCACTGGGAGCAGCGCAGCTCTGGGGGAGCACAGCAGCTTCCTGCCCTGAGTTTGTCACTCAGAGTGCTGCCCGTGGCTGGGGCCAGCTCCAGCCCTGCCCAGAGCCTCTGCTCAGCCCCTGCCAGGTCTGAGTGCTGGCAGTGACAATCGCAGGGCTTTTACAGACAGGCTCTTGGGACTGTTCACAGGGGACACTCCAGTGTCATAGAACTGACAGAAGTGATTTTTTAAGGGTTTGGTTTTTTGTTTTACCCCCTGTGTTTGCCCAGCCTGTGGCCACAGCCTCCCTGGGCATGGAACATGGCAAATCTAAAATCTGGATGGTGGATTTATTGAATGGTTATGGTCACCTTGCTGTCACAAAAGCACCTTTGGGGAGGGAGGAGATGAGCTCTGCAGAACAGAGACCTGAGATCAGCTGATAATTGCATTCATTTTCACAGCAGCCTTAGCAGTACATCTGTTTTTCTACTAAACATTTTGGTATGGCATTGAGAATTTTTTTAAACTGCTACAGATATTGTAAATTTAATATATTACAGGCAAAACTAGACAAATCTGCATTGAACTTTCCATAGTTAACAGATGAGGATGACTATACCAAGTATTTTGAGTGCCTTTCTACCTTCATAAAGACTGAGAGCTTTAACTAAAGCACCTCATCACCCAGTCAGATGTTTATCTGAAAGTGGTAAAGGGTTGATTCCTTTCCAAAATTTTGTTTCAAGTACATGTCAGCTACTTTCCCCTCAAAAAGGTGCTAAGCCTAATATTGCATTGTAACCTTGGACTTTCACCCCATGATTAATGTGAATATTTATTTCAATGTGTCCCTCTTACTGGGTTTTACTTTATCCAGTCTTTAGTTGTTTTAGAGTTGTCACATCATGGTTTTATGCTGTTGCTTTTCATTATGAATGTTTAATTATGAACAGTGACTTTTGTAGATTTCAAATATACAGTTCACAGTTGAGTTTCAGAGGATTTAATTTCTTGGTGTAAAGAGTTTTGTAATGGTGCTTTGTACAGTATGTATTCTAATTTTTTTTTTTTTTTTTTTGCACATAGGTTCAGTTTCCCTAAACTGATTTATTTGTACCAAATTTTTGTGTTGTACTAAAGTCCAGAGCACACAAGCTATTTTGAAATTCCTGTTCCACAACACTACATGTGTACTGAACTCCTGGTGTGTTTAAAAGGCTGCATTGATGGAAGTTCAAGCTTTGCTCCTCTGTCACAGCACCATCCTCCAGCTCGATGTAGCATCTTTTTAAACAGCACCACACAGTTAACAGGTGCCATTTGTTGTACTTTACACTATGTAGTAGGTTCCTGGCTCTACACATCCTCAGTTCTTTGTTTGTAGTTGTAATTAGTTTATACAAGTGTAATTACTCCACAAACTGACAGTTCTTAGTTTATCATTTCCATTGTATTTATTACAGAGTGTTTTAGCATTGGTATCATTGTATTTTCACCCAGCTGTTACATGAGCTTTAACAAAAAAAAATCTGTATAAAATGGTTTTTAAGTACTTAATGTATGTACCCATGCAGAAGTTGAGCAATAAATTGTATGCTGTTTGCACTGTCACAGCATCAATGGTTTTAAAAGTTTTAAGTTTTTCTTAATTAAATCTTCAAAATGTAACAATGTCATTTTTAAGTAACTTGACTTTGTTTCAGGAGAAAATACTTGAAACTTGGTGACTTCCTACATGCTGTTCCCTACAGTGAGGAGTGTGCTGAATGTTCTAGTCAAACACAGCAGGTCTCACTTCTGGCTCCAGGTACTGGCATGGCTTGGCAAGGACTTTATCTATCTCAGCACTGGTGAACAAATGAAGAGACTCCTCTCAAAACTCAGCAAAGCTACACTATCTTCCTGGAGGGAAATAAAGGCAAATTTGGTCAAGACTTGCTAAAATTCATCAACTTAGGTGATAAATATTGTCCCTTAAAGGCTTCAAGTTATCCAGGCTTACAGCAACTCCCTGAAAAGGTTTGGCTAGGTCAGGGTTTTGTGTTTCTGGTTTTGTGGAGAGGTTTTGGTGTTTTTTGGGTCTGTATTTTTGCAGTGGTGTCTCATGCTGTAACAGCTGGCTGGTTTGTTTAATCTGTAAAAGAAGCTCCTTCAGACGTTGGGGGCTTTTTTTCCTGATTAGCTTTTTTTTCAGTGAATGAGTGTGAATGCTCTGTGTGTTGTCAGTTCCATCAGAGACACCCCTTCATGCCAACCTTTAAATATTGTATGTACAGTGCAGTTAAATCCAGTATTCCTATATCACTTCTCACACAGCAATTTTAAACAAGAACTATTCTACTACCAAGATAAACTAATTAAGAGTTGCACTTTTGTCAGGCAGAGGAGACTGTATCAGTAATGGACTTCATTAATATCAGCTTGGTTTTATGGAATTGTTCTCAGTTCAAGTCCTCACCCCTCTGTGTTGGCACCTCCGCAGTGTTTGGCTGGTGAAACCTGCAGTTCCTGCTGGGCACTGCTCTGTTTATAGCTCTGCAAGATGCTGCAGTAGGTGCAGTGCCTGCTGTCAGCTCCTGCTCTGCCTGGAAGCAGACCTTAGAGCCTGAAGTAAGGTAAAAACTGACTGGTGAAATATTTAATCATTCTTTAATTCTGCTTCTGTCAGTGTGAGATGGAGTAATCAGGCTGCACCTGTGAGCATGGCCCTGTGGAAGATTAGGAATGCTGTCCATAGCTCCTCCCCAGGGTTCACCTCTTGCAGAAGTTAATCATGTACAACTTTAGAAGAATCTGCATTGTTTTCTGTTTCAAATTACTTTTCCCAGTGCATTTGTGGCATTTATAGAGTATTTTATGTGCCTTTGTATTTTATCAAGCCAGCAATGCCAACACTGTGAACACAACTGAAGCAGGAGTGGAAGAAGTAGTCTTCCCCTGCTTGATGTATTTAAATTCCCAGTTACTTATGTCAGGTTTATTGCAGGCATTCTCCAACTTGGCTTTTCACAGGAAACCTGAACCTCTGATGTTCTTTCAAAGATCTTCTTGTGCTTTGTGAGCTTTCCAATCCATGATTTCTGGCTAATGGTGTTAGATTGGCTGGCTTAACAGCAACAGTCCCAGCACAGATGCAGAGGAGCCTCAGCATCCAACTGTTCCACCAGGAAAACTTCACTAAAGCACTCTGACTTCATCCCAGCTTCCTCTGGGTAGAGCCCAACATTACCCCAACCTTGCTAGGAAGGTAAAAAGTAGTTCACAAATTTTATTGCTGATCATAAAGGTGCTGTGGAGATCCCAGTTCCCAGCAGCTACACCCCTGACAGGTCAAAATGACAAAACAGATATTTCAGAGAAAAAAAACAGCTTCACACAATCTTCTCATTATGGCAGCTCTCAAAGACCCTGATCATCTTAGCCAGGGAGGACTGCATTTACCCAAGAGTGCCATTTACCCAAGCCTCAGAAGAAGTGGCTTTGGCTGTACTGGAAGGAAGCAATCTGAAGTCTGGATCTCAGTCTGTCTGCTTCCAGCTCTTGAAAAAAGGTGTCATCATCATTGTGCATGATTGCTGCTTGCAGTTGCTGTATTTCCTTTTCCATCTTTGATCTCACTTCTCTTTTTGATTTTTGTAGCATCTAAAGAAAATACTGACATTAGCCACAGCATGTAGAAAGAAAAGGCAACTGGAAAAAATTAAGAGTACTTACTTGTGCTTGTGCTTTCTCTCTGGTTTGGATTTCTTGGAATTCTTGAGATATAGCTTCTGCTAGCATGGAAAACTAAACACAACATGTGTGTGAGTTGAAATAATTAAAGAAAGACTTCTAAGTGGAAAAATATGATCTGCCTGATCCAGATGAACCTTTACCTGGTCTTTGTAGTAGTTCTCCAGAGACTCCAGCTCAGTCTGGTGCTCTCTCCGCTGCTCATCACGCTTCTCTCGAGCATAAACTCTCAGGTCCCTCAGTCTTTGCTTCTGAATTTCTAAGCCTTCTTCAAATAAGTTTTTAAATATCTGCCAGCAATTAAAAAAAGCAAACCTGAAACTTTCCCAGGAACCTGTAAGTATACATTTACATTTCTCAGCTGCTTTAGCTCCTGATGGAATGATGTTTACATGAGGATAGGCCACAGCCCATGAAAAAGCACGAGTATGTATCTAGAAATGGTGGTGCAGATACAGCTGAGCTGGATTTGTATTATTCATTTAGCTGAAATTTTGATAGATATAATAATTTTTCTTGTCAGTTTAGTCAGATGACCCAACTGTGCAAGCCAGAGCCTTTGAACATGCACTGTGATTTACAACCCACCCTGTACTCTGCAGTCTGACTTGAGGACCTTCATCCAGGTTTCCAGCAGCAGGAAATCCAGCCTGGACTCAGGCTTTCCATTCCTCCACAAGAACACTTAGAAGCTGTAGCTCACAGCTTGAGGCAAACAGTTCTCAAATCTCTACCAGTGGATTATGCAGTAAACTTCTAATCTTTTATTTTGAAAGGTGACAAGTGTGTATCTGTTCTTGCAGAGCTGTAATAACTCTCCTTGCTTTCCCTCACTCTGATGTCCAGCCCTAATTAGATCATATCTGTCACAAAGTCCACTCTGTTTTACAAACACAACTGACTAACAAGGCTGCCTGTTTGATCAGTTCCCTTAACTGAAGATTTAGATTGTTTTCTTTGGAGGTGACTGTAGGAACAACTTCTTAATCCTACTGTTTCTGAAAACTCATTTCCCCAATTTCTCATGTTACCAGCCCTGTTTTTCCACATTGATACTTCACCCTTTCTCTCCTCTTAGCCCCATAAATCATCCTTTCTTGTTTCACGTGGTTTGCCCTGCACTGGATCCACATTTCCAGAGCAGGAACCTTTTCATCTGGAGCCTTGACTGATCAACCACTTCATCCTGGCTCTGCTTTGGTCACTGCATGTGCAGGATTGAACTACCCAACCTCAGCACCGGGGTCCTGACAGGAAAGAACTCTGCAGGGCAAGGCCCCCCTTGCTCACCCTCTCCTCGCGTGTCCTGGCCCGCAGCAGCCTGGCCCGGAGCTGCACCCTGTAATCCTCGTAGTATTTCCTGGCCCGCGCCGCCTGCTGCCGCTTCTCCGTCACCTTGTTCTGAGCCCACTTCTGCCGGTGGATGCGCTGCTTGATCTCTTGCTGAAGGGAGAGCAGCAGCTGTCAGACCACCAAGCTGCCAACAGATACCCCTTGCAGGCAAAGCTTTGTTAATTATTGCTAATTAGGGTCCTTTACTGAGGACCTGCTCCACACCTCAGCTTTGCAGTTACGGTTTAAAGTGTTTGTCACCACTGACGTAGCAAAGTTGTGTCACTGTCACCGGAGCTGCAACACAACCTCAAGTTTCTCCTCCTTGCACTTTTTTTAGAATTTGTTTTACCTTTCAGAGCAACAGTGCAGTGTAATAATAATAACATTCCATTCTCATGACCCCAGTAGCTGCACAACAAACAGAATAACAAACAAGCATTTTGAGACCACAGCTACTCAAAAAGTGTAAAGTTGTCATAAGACAAAAAGCCACTTTCATGATGTGGGAATATGCATTTTAGATAGCTCCATGTGAAATCTCTGCATTATGTAACAAATAGTCTTCAAAGAACATACCAGTCTCTTGCTGTGATCTTGATCTCTCTTAATAATTGCAGCAAGCAGTTCATGTTTCTTCAAGGCTTGTTCAACCTGGAGATTTAAAAAAAGCTCATTACTTGCATCATGCTGCAGGACAAGCTGTCCTATGTAGCAGATTTAAATATTGCCCCTCTGCTATGTTTTGGGGTTTGGTTGAGGGTTGCCTTGTATAAGTTAATCAACTTTTGCATCTCGTAACTCACTCTTAAACTAAAAGACTGTTCAGAACTAGCAGTGGAAACTACAAAATGCTTTTAAAACAGCAATAGCAACCCTAGGCAGTACTCAAGAAACCAGTATCAAAGAAGGACCATAATACTCAAGTGGCTGATGAAAAGTTGAACTTGTGTATGTAAAATCTGTACATCCCTATTTAACCAAGCTCCCAGAACATCCTTCCACACTCTGCTGTGGGTGCAGGTGCCCTGTCAGAGTATCTCTGCTGACATTCACCAGGTAAGAATGACAACACTCACTTCATTCTGGAGTTTTGGTCTAGGTCTGGCAGAGGGTGCCTTGAGGTGCATAGTTTGTGCAAGCTGCTGATGCCACATTTTATTCAGAGTATTGGGGGAAATGTGCAGGTGGGGAAACTCCTCCAGGAGCTGCAAGAGGAGGTCATTGTCTCTTATTGTCACTGTAAGATAAAGGAAGAGGTAAGCAATAAATTCATGGAGAATACATTTAGTTGTAAATTCATCCAGACAGTGTCAGCATAAGTCAAGAAATATTTTACATTGAAGGCTGTATAAAATCACCATGCTGCTGTTACCATGTCAAGCTAAGCCCAGCAGGACACATCATCCTGCCAGAACAGCAGCAGAGAAAGCAATCCCAGTCTTTTGTTGTTTTCTCTGAAGAATTGATTTTATAGCTCAGATGTCATTTCCCTACCCCCACCACATCCAACTAAGACAGGTATCCCCTTCTTTCTTCATGTGGTTATGACCATCACTAATCAGAGATTGCTTTCTCTCTCTCTCTGGTTGCAGCAACTTAAAATAAAGCCAGCACAGCCACAGCAATGACAGATCCAGGTCAAGTACACAGGTGCAAAATAAACTGCTTTGCAACCAGCTCATTCCCATCCATTACATCTTTGATCTTTCTGGCAGGAAAAGATGATGGGGAGATGAAACAAAAGGGTATTTACCAAGTACATGGCCTTCAAAAACTGGAATAAAAATAAGGCAGTGTAGCTGAGCAACATCCAGATACATAGGAGATTATCTGGTGATCTTAACCCTAGGCATGCACAGTGCTGGTTACCAAAACTGGGCCTAGGATTTGCAGTTTGGCTTTCTTGAAGCATCACTTACTCAGCAGAACCAGCGGCAGCATTAACACCACAGTGGCAGGGTCCTGACAGATCCTGCTCAGTGACCTGTACCTGGCTCAGCTCTAGCCACAGGCCCGAGTTTAAATCTGATACATGCTCAGAAAAATAACAAGAGGAGAGCTCAGACTAGTGGAATAAGCACAGGAGTAGCAGCAATGGAAAATTAGCCCTGAAAATAATCCAAGGGATTTTAAGGAAGTAGCAAATGGGTCACAATTTGATTGTGCACTGATGGTTTACATTTACGTAAAGCATTATCTTCCCTAACAAAAATCCAGACATACAGAGGTCAGAAGAAGGGAAAATGCTACAGCTGACTGGTATATGTTGGACTGGTGCCTTTAATCTTGGAGTTCAACACATGCTTTCAAAAGATGCCAGTTTTCCAGCAAGTATAGTTTTGCAGTTCTTACTTGGAGCTGCTTGCTTTGGCTTCGTGGTCCCTCGTTTTGGAATCCACTGGCTGTATTTGGGATACTGAGGTGTGGTTTTTCTAGAATAAACTTTCACTCGCTGAGACACTTTTGGAGGTTCTTGAAAGACATTTTCTTTGTACTCTTGTTCCTTAAGAGCAGATGTAAAACAGATGGGAGAACAGGTATGAGAAGGGAAACACTGACAGAACACAGTTTGGCCATCAGAACTTAAATATCTTTCAGACTTTAGAGTGAGAACTTGGACATATTGCATTGGATTCTCCAGAAGGCCAGAATTTACAAAATGCAGGTCAGGGTTCAAATAAAGGTTAAATCTCATCACTGCATAACCTCAGCTCTGCTGCAGCACTCAGCATTAGTAAGTTACTACTTCAGTTGTACAGTGTTGTAACTATGACACTGAAGTCAAGGTTTTGTTCCCAAAGGTGTCTGAACAAACTATCTAGACAAATTTAAAAAGAAAAAAATCAACCAAGCAAAACACAACCAGCAATCCCAACGTGCATCACTTACCATTTCCTTGGCAGCTTCTCTGAGCTTGGAAATTCTACGCTTCTCCCTCACTTCAAAAATTCTTAGCTCATTTTCATAAGCTTTAGTGACCAGCTAGAAAACAAAAATAAAAGGTCTTGTCAGAGGAAATAATCAGTCCATACAGCCACCTTGTTAACTTGGTTGCTGCATGGGTCAAAGTAGCTTCTTCCACTTTAAACTCTTTTTTGCAAAATTCGGGGTTTAAGTCTCTTCCTCAGCAGGCTACAGATGAAACAGCATATGATTACTAGAGGAGACCAGATGCTCCCATTGCATTAAAGTTCTCTTTTTGTGGTTTTAGTATAACTGTTGGTAAGAACTACAACAAGGTCCCATCCAAAAATTACCTTTGTTTTTCTTGTTCTTTCGTCCCTTTCTTCCTGCAGCTGCCTGCGTACTGTCTTTATGTGGCCTGTTGCACTGCCACTCAGTTTATGGTCCTGGTGCTGAGAGGAGGGTGAGGCTGGAGAGAGGGACCGTGGCCTGCCTGGGTACCTTGGATGTGATGTGTCTGTAGGGAAGGAGCATTCATTGAGTACCAAATTTGAGACAAAAAACCCCAGTGAAGTGTATTGTGACTAGGCCCTCATTTCAGAACCACATCCTGTGAGCCTGTATTCTGTCTCTTCCCCCATGTGCTACACATTTTTACTGCAGCTGTGTTTCACTTGTATTTTTTTTTTTTTGCAAAGTTTTACCATTGTTTTTGAAGTGTTAAACAGAAACTTGGTTGCAATTCTGTTACTGTAGCTCAGGTTTGGATCAAAGAAATGAACTAGCAATAGAAATAGGGAAAAAAACCAGAAATGAACTAGCAATACAAAACTTAGTAACTAACTGTAATTCAGTGTAGCAGCTTTCTTTTATATTTGTTTCCATCCCAACACTGGCATAAGGATTGTCACCTCTCCCAGCTGTCCTTCGGCCGTAGTCCATGACACTGTCACTGTGGTGGGACAGGCTGTCCTCATCTGTCAGCTCCTCTTCTCCTGTGTGCTCACCCAAAGCTCTCTTCAACATCTAAGGGATAGATTTTTTTTGTGGGGTCAGGTTCAACAGACAGTTCTAAAGTTGGAATGAACTAAAGCCAGGTGTTAGTTGCAGATTTCCTTTTCATCCATATTGCACTGATACTCTTAATTCTCTCCAGTGTCATTACTAAAGCTGCATTGCTCAGCTCAACAAAGAAGAGACTGCACTTACTAAATCTAGTTCATTTAGCATGCGAGACAGATTTTCTGATGCTTCATTAAACTCTTGCTGCTCAGGCACCTTCTCCTTTGTTGTTCTGTGGGAAAGTGAATCTTCAGCTGAATCTGTGGTGGAATTTTCATATTTGCTAAAGCAGAAAACAGACAGATTTCATTTCTGTTCTAAAAACTTGACGATGAGCATTATCTCATACAATTCCAGCTCACTTTTTGCCTAAGCATGTTTTTATAGGATTAAGTAAAGCAGAATGTGTAAATGCCTATAACCATATTTAACAATATGAGTATATGTCAGGAGAAACAGGAAATCTTTCTGTGAGAATTATTCTTTCACTGTCACACAGCCAAGGAAAGAAAGATCTTATTTTAAAAGGGAGGAGGGGACTGGCTGGCCATGGAAATCAAAGTGCCAGTGTGGTTCAGTACCAAAAATCTGAACTTGCCTTGTTGTTCTAGACCAGTGCTGAGATTCAGGTCTTGGGGTTTGTGTTACTTGTTCAGCACTTAGTGAGAGCTTTTTCTCAAAAGAGGTAGATATAGAAGATTCAGATACCAGAGGCACCTAGGAAAATGAGTAAATGAAGGTTTTATAGATTATGTGAGTAGAGATGCTGTAACAGAACCATCCCAAACACTGTGAGTGTAGATACAGAAAAATAGTTCTATTTCTAGGCTCCTGACTGCAGAGAGTGTGCTTTAGAGAATTAATGTTTAAAGAAATGGACTAGCAAAAATACGGAAGATCAGTTCACAGCTATGCCATGGAACCAGAACAGGGTTGGGTTAAGGTAAGGAGTATCTCCACATTCCACCTCATCAGCCTGGGACTGATGCCAGGTAGTGGAAATAAACTGAATTTCCCTTAGTGCAGACTAAGCTGCAGTTCACAGGGAGCCAAAAGAGAACACTCCTGTCCTTGTGCCATTTAGCTGCACTGGTTTAGTTCTGCCTGGTAACGTCTCCGTTCAAACTGGAGTAACTTGGGCTTGGCATGGACATCCTGGGAAATGCACCAATGGAAAACGAGTTTCAGAGACAATGTAGAAGTAAAAGCTGTTTGAACTATTGGAACAAGCAAAGTCTGTGAGTACCTCTTGTGGTTGCAGAAGGCAAAATTGTGTTTCCAGGGAAAGAAACTTCCTTTACAGACACATTTCTATGGGCACAGATTGGTAACTGCTCATCAGTTTGTGGGTTTTGTATTATTCAGTTTTTGAAAAGCAAAGGACAATGCAAGAAAATAAAAGGAGAGAATATAATAAGCAGTTCATGGATCTTTCAAAATGAGTAAATCTAAGTTTTATTGGCCAAAACCCCCAAAATTCTTACTAATTTAGAATGCTGATACACTTCAGAGAAAGGACATGACTGTACTTCTGTGCTTTGTACATTTTTGATTAAAAAGCAAGATAACCAGTAACTGGTTGGTTGTGATAAATAGAACTCTGTGGGTGCTGGCTCTGTACATTTTGGAGCAACAACTCCAGGAAGAACTAAGAACTGACATGACTCACAGACTGCACATAATCACAGTCTAACAACACTGCATCACTGATTGTATATTGGGGAAAGAAAGTCTAAAGGTTTGAAATAAGCCCAGAAGTGCCACAAGATAACAGACTAAGCAGAAATCAAAAAATACTGATTGAAATTCCAAAAATTAAGATGCAACATGTACCTTTGTCACATTGTCTTTGGCATCATCTCCCAGCATTTCTCCCACTGCAGAAGCAGATGACAGGTAACTGTGAGTTAATGGCATCGTGCCTGCTAATGTGGGCAACAAGGGAAAAAAGATGTGAGCCAGGGCCTGTGGATCCAAATTATTCAGAGAATAGAATGACAAAGCAACTGTGGTTACCCAGTTGTGACATTCATTTTGGTAATTTCTCCAGTCTTCAATGCTCAGTGTCATGGGAATGCTATGGAAACTAAAAAAGGTAAGCAGTGTTTCCAAGGCAACAGAGAAAATGAGTATTGAAAAAAAATAGCTTCTAAACCTTTTCTACAATAGCAGTTAATGGCTTTTTCTTAGAATTGAAACTGGCATGTTTGGTCCATGTTTCTCTGCTCAGGATAAGCTCAGCCATGGGACTTATCTGCTGGAAGAGGTTTCTGTGGTATAGACCCATCTTAACAGGATTAACTAAGAAAGGAGTTGAATTGGGGACATGGATTACTTTTTTCCAATAGAGGGAACAGATTAAAAGTAACCTATTTTTGCTTCTCTGTAAAGCAGAGATAGAAATACAAACTTGTGGCTGATTTTTAAAAAATGCACTAGTAGATTCAAAACAGTGTTTTTTGTGGTGCCAGTAAAAATAAATGCAACATTATAACACTTAAGAGTTACCCTAGAGGATGCAAAATTTTCTCTCACCAGGGGTTTTTCTGGATAGAGGAAGACCATCAGAAACATCATTAAATTTTTGGGTAAGTGACTTTTCAATCTGAAATAAAAAGGAAGATGTATTCTATAAATTCACAGGAGAGTGCTGACAGGAAGCTCATACATTAGGTCTATCTGCAAATGGAAATCAATGCTGATTTTATAGATAGATAAAAATCACTATAATTATTTTGTTTACTATACTGTAAACTCTGGCATTGACTGTGGAGATGTGTATGTATATATGTATAAAATAAACACACCCCTCAAACTAAATTCCTCTCTGGACATTTAGTGAAGAATGAATCCACAATCCAAAATTCCTGGAACTGAAATAAACTCTGACACATTCAAAAGTGTTCTTCAGGGACCATCTACTCCCATTCTACAAGTAAACTAGGAGGTTTTCAAATGAAAGCACTATTGGTTACTAAAAGAAAATTAAATAATCAAAGGGTAGCTTTTCCTTACAGTAGGAATGTTCACTGCTTGACTGCAAGCCAGAGCTGCTGCCTGTCTGTCTGAGCTGTGGTAATCTCTCCATCCTGGATCCGAGGGCTGGAACGGGGGCAGCAGAGGAATTGCCTGCTGGATGGGCTCCCCCAGTTTTGTAGCACCGACACTCAAACTCCCTTTGTGAGGTTCAGCAGCATGAACAGACTCCATCCCTCCTGAAGAGGCAAACACAAAGAACTTGAAGTGTTATCTGGGAAAGCAGAGCACGTTCTGTGCATTGTGTGTACATAACAAAGGGAAGTGTCTCGATAGCTAATGTGAGCTGCCACCTTTGTTGGATTGCATGGGAGAGCACTGTAACATTTTTCAGCCTTGAGGACATGATTTTGGATGTGAAGATCTTCCACAAGGACTTTTTAGTGTTTTGAACCACAAAAGAAAAGAATACAAACCACAATACAAATTAAAAACAGCCTAGCTGAAGCCAAATCCTAGCTAAGCAGAAATACCCCAGATAATGGAAGTTTGCCTACTCTGAGAGACCAAAATACTGCTTTTCTGAAAAGAATTTATTTTAAAACATGACTAAAGCGTTTCCATCCACGACTAAAGCTCTCCTCCACACTACCCTAGTTCCCTACACCCCTAAATCAAAATCAGGTGGATGAGCTGTCAGAACAATCAATACTCACCATCTTCCCTTTCATTTACAGTCCCCTTTTCACTTTCTGAGAACTGTCTGGGCAATGCTGCAAGAGCCTCTGTGCTTTCAGATTCTTCTACCTCCGTGTCTTTTTCTGCTAGACAAAGTATAGGCATCTGAAATTCTAGAAGTGGATGCTTGAAAAAATTAAATGAAGGTCTATAAAGCATCTTGCTATGAACTGTTGAGATGGACAATTTTAATGTTTCACATTGCTTGGGGTCAGCAATCCATACTAAGCTCACAATAGGTCTGCTAAATTCTTATTTGTACCTCCAGTCAATGAAATGTTCATAATTCACAACATTTCTTTATGCCTCTACTTGAGGAGATGAATCATCAATAAGAATAGGAAGAATTGGAATATTCTTATAAAAAATATGAAGTAAGAATGATCTCCATTTAAGTCATCTGCACACTACTCTTTTCAGAGCCATCCATGAAGTTTTGAAGGGGCACACACTCCTGAGAAGTATTCTTTAAGAATGAACTTAATAATTTTTTTACAGTCTTAAATAATACGTGTTACACTGCAACAAATGAAACAAAGTCTTCAGAATTCTCCTATTCTATTGAACAAGATAAAATACCTTAATACAACTGAACTGGAACTCAAACAATAAACCTTTATCCAAATAAGGTAGTGCAAGAGTCATGAAAAATAATGCCTGGAATATTTGCTTCCAGAAATTTTAACTTCAGCAAGATGAATTTGCTTATTGTGGGTTGTCTGGGGGTTTTTAAACAAGGATTTAAAACAGTATTTATGTGAAAGAAATAACTTTGTAAAAGGAAACCAAAAAAAAGCCTAGGAGTCTAACTAGAGAAGAGTTTTAAAATTTTTTCTCACCCAAACTCACCTTCTCCTCTCTTGGAAAATGAATAAGCAGTATCTCCAAGTTTAATTAATTCACTGGTAGATCCTGAGCCATCTGTATCACAAGTTTGAATAAAATATTCTGACTGGGACCTAGGGGGGAACATAAAGCCATCAAATATTTCCTCTCTCAGCCTCTGCTCATTCAGCCCACGAGATGGAGCTGCCGAGGAGCCGTGCAGGACACGGCCCTGCTGCCACAGAGCAACCAGAGCAGGAGTCACAGCCACAACCTGAGCTAAACACCAGAGCAGGAGTCACAGCCACAACCTGAGCTAAACACCAGAGCAGGAGTCACAGCCACAACCTGGGCTAAACACCAGAGCAGGAGTCACAGCCACAACCTGAGCTTACCACCAGAGCAGGAGTCACAGCCACCAACTGAGCTTAACACCAGAGCAGGAGTCACAGCCACAACCTGAACTCAGCTGAACGAATCAATCTTTAAAACTGATCAAAGTTTTCAAGTTGTTTCATTCCACATAAAAAGTAAACTTAAGGGAAACAAAATCAGCAACTCTTCAAGGGCAGAAGTCCCAGATGTAATTTTAGCCCAACCAGAAGAGTCACCTCACATTCCTTTTGGCATATGTAATCAGTAGGTGTCTATACTATAAAAAACCTACTAATTTCTCTACAGATACACAGTCAATCACTATGTTTAAGCAAATATTCAGAATTGTTCTTACCTTTCAACTGATGAGAGTAGTGTATGTTCTGAAAGTTGATCAGCAGTGCTTTCCAGCTGCTCTTGAGATGCAATTTGAATTTCATCACCAGACAGCACATTTATCTCAGCTGTTAATAACCAAGAGGTAATTATTTTCAGGAAAACTACTTCTACCTATAAAATAACAGCTACTACTTCCAATATCATCAAAACAGTTTAGGTGTAATATCAACATTGTAGCGTTTAATCTAAAATGATGACATGTAATGTTCCCCATGAGGGGAGGGGGAGGTAGGGGAGGTGGGGCAACTTTTATGGTAAATTTTGAAAAATTATACCACTACCATATATTCCCCTGTTCCAGTTATTAATAAACCTTTCTTCTTCCTCAAAAGAATTAAACTGTGGACTTACAGCTAGAAAATTTGAGCCAGGAACCCCCAGTGGGTAACAAAACTGGCAGTCTGAGGGAAGGGAAGAGCAGTACAGGCACATTCCTCTGGGTTGTGTCCGTCTGGACCAGGCCAGGAGGAACTCAGGCACCAAGTGCTCTCTCCCCTTATCACAGAGTGCAACAGCCACTGGTGACAGCTCTTCACAGCTCTGACATAGGAAGACCAGTTCTGCCTGCAGTAAGATGCCTCTGCAGGGCTGAGCAGCTTCTCTCATTTTCCTCAAAATAACCCTGCTATGGACCTACTCCCAAGACCCTCTTCCCAGGAAAGACTGTTTCCCCCCTTCTCTCCTAGTAAGTAAAAGGGACATTTGCTCATTCTCCCAATTAAAGCCAACATTTCCCTCCTTGAATCCTAATTCTGAATCATCTACTTATAGGTTGAAAAGCAACTAACAAAGGATGAGTTGTCTGGAGTAGGTTTCTGCCACAAGAATGAAGCAGAAAGATTATGTAAGTTTGGGGAAAATTTATCTCTTTTATTATTGTTTATGAAAATAAGGAATGCAAATATTCAGCTTCACCCCTGAAATTTTCCTCCCCTGGGGTCAGTTTTGTCTTTCTCTGTCAAGGTTATAAGTAACAAAAAAACCCAAATAAATCTTTGTTACGTTGGAAACACTTTGGGTTTACATCTCACCTCCAGTCTGAGAAGAGGTTTCACTGACTTCTCTAAGATACTCCAACAAACCATCAAATATTTCAAGGAGGTTTTTGATAGATTCCTTGTCTCCTTTCACAATGTTCTCACCTTAAGAGAGGATAATGACACATATTAATAATTAGTACTTCATAGAAGAAAAATTCTCAAAAGCAGGCATTTTCTGTAGAAGAGTGCTTGGAAATTCTTGTAAAGGTGTCAGCTCAGAAGACACCTGGTCACTTATTTATGACTATGTAGGTAAGCTTAAAATATATTTTAAGTGTTCTAAATTTGCATCTTTTCAGTTCCAAAAGTTTATTGATGCAGTAACTGCTGACACACAAAATAAATATTCTGGGATATTTTCAGGGACAATTGGTATTTAATATTTTTCTTATACATAAAACTATAGCATGAAGCAGTCTGTGGAGTGGCAGCAGGATTGCAAACACCAGCCACTGTGTACAGGCACCAAGTCAGATACTTCTTACCAAGCAGTTTTCACTCTTTGCAGATTATGCTGTGTGAGACCATACACAGGAATACTCAGGGAAAGCCATTATCTGTTTACAGATAACACAACACAGCTCAACTCTTTATTCACCAACTTTTAAAAATCTAATAAGAAGTTTGAAACTCCAGGGTCATGTCTTAAAAGCAGTGTCCAAGTGTACATTGTGATGCACAGTGCCCAAGCCTGAGCCAGCAGCAGATTTCAGAAAACACTTTGGTAGCCAGATGAAGCAGGGCTGGATGTCAGCTTTAACATTTCTTACTCTTATTTATTCTCTGCTTGCTGTTTCAATTTGTAACCTGATGTCCAAGGCAATGGGTCAGTGTTCTGGTGACAGCCACTACCATAAGAAGAGATTCCATGCAAGTATGAAAGCAAGCTGTGTAACACCTGGTTCTTAAAATGTTTAAATTAAACCACACAGATATTCAACTGAGTTTGTCTCATTAAACCAAGTACTCACCCGTGATGTGAGACAAGCTGACCTGCAAATAATCCAGTGCCAGGGAATCTATTACTGCTTGTACATTATGTGCATCATCCTCTTGGCTTCTGGGAGTAGCAATGAAATCTATTTAAAAGAAATAGTAGATTTTAGACTATTTAAATGGACAGCCTGTTGCAAGTACCTTAACAATGAAACTACTTTAACTTCTGATTACAAGCCAGTATTTTTTCAGTACCTTGTGTCCTTGATGAAAAGCCCAAGTATCATATATGGTCCTACAAAACCTTTTATAAATACTGAGCACAAACTTAGAACACCCCTTGGAAGATGTGAGGGTTTTAACAGGATTAAATTCAAGAACAGAGATTACTAAAGCATTTCTTCTCCTTCACCCCCAGCACACACACCTAGTTCAGATCATCAGACTGGAACTGCAGTTTGTGTTAGGGCTTCTTCTCTCCCTGTCACACAATAATTGCACTACAATGTATTCTACTTAATTGGGAACAACACTATTTTTAGTTCTGTGCTTACATTTAACAAGACTTCTACCTTCAACAGGTACCAGTTACCTCAGTGCTCTTAAAATCTTCTGCAATCAGTAGTCTGACACTTCCTACACATAACAGTTTACAAAGCAAATGCCTAACTGTATAGCCTTTGCTTAGCTGTCACTGAAGTCCAGTGGAGCTGGGTTAAAGCAGGGTTAAATCACATCCCAGCTCTTAGCAGACTCTAAGTATCAAGCATTTTATGAGAGCAGACTTCAGTGTTAACAGTGCTGTAAGAAGATAAAATGAGGTAGTTCACACCCTTCAAAAGTATTATGCCCACAGACAGCTTTCAAGGCCTAATTTACAGTAGTTTTGTTGTGGCTATCCTCATAGCTGCCATTCAGAGCAGTGCAAAGTTAAAATAAATTTTGCCAATATCTCTTAAATCTTCTTAAAGAATGTCAATCTTATATTTTTGTCTTTGGAAGGATGTAAACACTTTAAATCCCTACATCTGCAGGAAGTTCTACAAGTTTCAATATTATTTAACTACAAAATACACAGAGACAAAAATAAAAAGCAGATTTAGCAGTTATCATTCCTACCTGGTACTTTTTCTCCTAAGATTGACTCATAAAGACGAACAAACATGTCAGCACCACATTCTGAGAGGTGCTTTATGTGCTGGTTTATGTGACAGGTCCTTATAAGATCATTGGCAACATCAACCCAATCTGTTCAGAAGAAAAACATATTAATGTCAGAACTGAAAGATACAGAACTAAAGATGTGGTTATTTACAGTAAAAGGTAACCCCTGTAAGTGTCTTTGATTCCACCAGAGGTGGTCAAACACAGGAGGCTGACTCATTAATCCAAAATATTAAATATTGTTCAAGTGCAATCATAGCCCAACTGGACTTGGGAGGTGAAAAGCACTGAAGTACCACAGGCTGGGCAGGTTATTTTTTTTTTTCCATGTAATGAAAAACAAATTTTAATCTGGTGTCATAGCCAGAAACTCCAAACCTTCAAGACCTTAACAAGCCAAGCTTTGATACACCATTTATCAATGATCAGAAATGACAGGTTCTTTTTTGGAAAACAAGAGCTTCTCTAACAAGCCCAGGTTCTCTAAAAGTCTTCGGCAATGTCATCAGTGCTAATGTAAAGACTCCTCACGAAAAGTAAATTCTACTTTAATTAATTATTTGAGGATTGCTAGAATACAGAGGTGGCCCCACCAAGTTCTCTGCTGAGTGCAGTAAGATGTGCATTAACATTGTGATTTTCCCAAAACCTTTGAGTCCTGAGACCAAAGTGCTTTGAAGGACACATATTTTAACGAGCATTAAGAACTTTAACTTATTGGAGAAGGCATGAGTCACCTTTGGGAGGAAAATATATAGAATTACTACAGCAGAAACGAATTTGTAGTTTTCAGCCTCCTGTACATAGGAATGTTACTTTTCCATCCCTCTACTCCTCCTTCAGCTCCAGACATCACTTTATTTTAAGTTTCAGATGCACAAAAGGTTAAAGCATCTCCTACATTTCAGGCTGATGTCTTGGAACATTTGAATTGCTGTTTATCTGCAGCTTTATTAAGTTAAAAGTGTCGCCAGGAAAGGAACAAAGACAAAAGAGGGAAAGGGGGAGGTTAACGCAAAGAACTTAAAAAGCCGTAACACAAGTAAACGACAGCTTTATAAATGAATAAACATGAGCTGAATGGATGAGCTTTACAAATTAATAAATAATGAGCTGAATAAAATCGTGCCAGCGATGCGAGCAGGGGGGTGATGAGGGAGAAGGAAGCTCTCCGGCTCACCCTCCCGGCTCTGCGGGCGCCAGGCCGGCCGCGCCTCCGGGAGCGGGACCCCGCGGGAGCGGGACCCCGCGGGGCCGGAGCCCCGGGGCCTGGCCCTACCTGTGCCCTCAGCGCTGCCCATGGCGGCACCAACGAGCCGGGCCCGCGCCCGCCCCCGCCATTTAAACCGCGGCCTGCGCGCCCATTGGGCAGGCGCTGCAGGAAGGGGCGGGGCCGCGCGCTGGAGTGTCCGGTGCTCTTGGTCATGGCCGTTGTTGCGGGGCGGGGCCGGGCTGATCTCTCTGTAACGGGATTGGGAACAGGCCTGCGTTAGGACTGGGAGCGGGAACGGGGAGCAGAGAAAGAGCCCGAGCCCCAAAGCCGGGCCCCAGCGCGGGTTACGTGCCATTCCCCGCCGCTCCCGGTCACGTGACGAGCGCCCCCGGTGCGGCCCCGTTCCCCGCCCGGGCGCTCCGGTTCCGCCCGGCCGGTGCCGGTGCCGCCACCGCGGCAGGGCCCCGCGGGCCGAGGGCCCCGGGCAGCACAGGCCAGCCCTAGCCCCGGGGCGCTCCGGCCGCCGAGGGCGGCTGGCGGCGTAAAATGGCGGCGGGGGAGGTGGGGGGTTTGTCCGTGAGGTTCCGCCTTCGTCACCTGAACGAGAGGCGGGTGTTGGCGCTTCCTCGGTAAAATAGGTGGGGAAAGGGCCGGCCTGGGGCGGGGGAAGGTTCTCGCGCTTGACCTTGCAGGCTGACCCGGGACGTTTGCTGGCCGGTATGTCCCTCCCCGGGGGTTGCTGTTAATTGCCGCGATACAGGTGTGACAGGGTAATCCGAAGCATTTCTGCATGAAAGGAGAGCTAAAACCTTTATTAAAAATAAGATCTATAAAGGAAAGTTACTGTATTAGCTGCTAGCATGCAGCTTGTTGGACAGGTTGGATGGTGAAAGTCTTATTTCCGTTCTGAGCAACAGCATTCCATGCTCCTTAGGAATTCTGGGTTTTCCATGTTGAAAGCAAAAATGGTGTCCTTTATCACTGAACTCCTTGAGCACGACAAAAGCAGCTGAGCTCCCAGTTGTGACCATAAGAGCAGGAACTGGCAGCAATTAAACCTCAGTGCTGTGAGCTGCAGCAGCCCACGGGTGTCATCTGTAGGTCCAAATCCAATGCACACAGCACCTCAGGAACACAAAAGAGCTTTTGTTGTGTGTAAGCAAACACAGATCAGTGCTATCAAACTAAACTAAATACGGATTTTAGTTTGCTACATACACAGCTCTGCAAAGCTGTGTTGATTTGTTTCCATGTGTTGGCTATAATTAAGAGAACACGGGAAAATCAACGATGTTTAACTTAGGAGGGTGGAACGGAAAAATGAGGAAGTTTTTTTACAAAGGAAATTGAAAGGAGTTCCTTGCAGACTGAACTGTGTGTAGACAAGGCAGAGACTGTGTTTTTGTTTAGTCTTTTCAATTCATTAAAACCTTAGATTACTAACAGCACAGTAACAGCAGCCACAAAGTTATACACAAACAAAATCAAATTAATCTGTGTTAAATGCAATAGAACAAGAAAATTTATTTTTACAGCCTTTGCAAAAGTCTTTTTCAGACTTGTCAGGAGCAGGAAGCATGTAGGGTCAGAAGGTGGAGAGTGTTAGTAGGGGTGTTTGTGGACAAAAATCTTTCATAAGCCATGTTAAATAAGTAACTGTATACTGAAAAAAAAATGGGGAGATTCCTCTACTAGAAATTTGCTGGGATAGTATTAACAAAACCAGTCAAGCTAGAGTGCTACTGAAATAAAAAATGAATTACAACAAAAATGGTTGAGTGAGGTGGAATTCCAAATTGCTGAAGGTGAAACAGCTGTGGCTATTCATAAACAAAATAAGCCTGACTTAGGTTTTACTTTTGAAGACAATATCATGTAGAACTCTAGTCTTTGCAAACCTTGCTCTATTCTTAGCAACAATTTTTTTCAAAAGGCTAGAAAATAATACACAATAGATCAAAAACGTCTTTATATTTTCATTATGCAGATCTGTATGGGGTTGAGATAAATGCTGTGAATTTCTTGACTGTAAAGAAAAAAAAAAAGGCAAGGATAATTGTAAGTGTGGAATTGTTTTAAAAGGAGGAAAAATTACACTGCAACTTTGGTTTATTATAGAGGAGGTGACTTAAAAGATATTAATGTCCACAAACACTGTAAATAAACAAAAAGTTATTACTCACCATTTCTATTAACTCATTGTTTTATGCCCCTTGTTCTTATCCAGCAATATGTTGAAAATGAAAGTAACTGTGTTTCAGGGTGCATACACTGAAACTGTAAAACACATTGTCATGGTATCTTACAAGCTAAGGGCATAAATAGAACCAAAATGTGAAGAAATGGCCATCAAATACAGTTATTTTTGTCCCAGAAAAGCCTTAAAGCGCAGATTGCTACAAGGTGGGAGGATATAAACGGGAAGTGTTGTTATGGTACTTCTCCTTCCTTATGTTGTTTTCATTTCTTCCCTCTCTGCCTGCAGCAGGTGGCTGCGGGTGTTTGTGCTCAAAACTTCAGCTCTTGTGTGTGTAAAGCCTCAGGTGGGGGCCTTGGCCTGGCCAGGGCGGTGGGGGAGCAGCGGGTCCCCTTGGGGTACGGAGTTTTCACCCCGTGCCTTCGGAGCAGCTTTGCAGCTGCACTCCGGTGACCTTTGACTCAGCTTACTGGCCCTGGTGTGGAATCCAAAAAGATGACACTGGTAACTTTACTGACACGTGTTTATAAATATTTCTGTTTACGTATGCATTTGTAAACATTTTAAAAAGGCAATGTAACAGCATAAATGAACTGGCCTGAAGAGGTTTGATGTTATTTTGCGTCCGGCTCTCCAGGATCTGCACATCTGGCTCCTTCCGAGAGCGAAAGTCACAGGTGGGCATGGGGCCAATCTACGGTGAAGTAGCAGTTATTAGTTAAAATGTTTATTAGTTAAAAGCCTGGGCTCATCTCGAGCTATTTCAGGAGGATTTTCACAAACAGATCTGTGAGAACTGGGGGACTGCACTGCGGACATCAGGGTCCGGCTCTGCCCTGCCGAAAGTGCTGAGGAGCTGAGCTGCGTTCTGAACACGCCGGGCGGCAGAAAGCCTGCACTTATGGAGGCTGGAAGACAGAATTCTCCATTTCTATTTCCGTCCCCCTCAGGCCGGGATGCCCTCAGCGAGAACGAGGCTCCCGCCCGCAGCGGCCCCGCGCAGGCGCGAGCAGGGGGTGGGGGGAGCTCCCCGCGGGGGGGGCACTTCCGGCCGCGAGCTCAAAGCCGGTCAGCCGGGCGAGCCGTGGCCACGCCCACGCGGAAGGGGGCGTGGCCTCGCGCCGGCTCGGGCCGCTTACATAACGGCGGGGGTGGGGCCCGCGCGTGCGTCACGCGCCAGCTCCCGGCAGCCCCCGCTGCCCCCTATATAACCGGCGTCCGCGCGGCCGGGCGCCCACAGTGAGCGGCCTCCCCCAACGGCGCCGGATCTTGTTCAGGCCTTCGCCACCCGCTCTAAGTGATCGGAGTCGCCTCGCCCACCGCCACCATCGCCATGCCCGGGTATTCCAGCGACAGGGATAGAGGGTGAGTCCGGGGGCACGGCCGGCGCCAGCCGCCGCCAGCGTCCGGACTCTGAGCCTGCCCGTGGGGCTCTCGGGGTTGTTTTTCAGACGTTTTAAGATGGCGGCGGGGCGGGGGTTGGGCCGTGAGCCCTTCCCTCAGGGCTCCCGCCGCGAGGGGTAGCCGTGGGAGGGTATCGGGCTTTCTTAGGCCACCGATTGTGGACGACTGTCGGTTCCTTCGCCTCAGAGCACCCCCCGCGGGTGTGCTAGCGCTAAGAATAGCGCGGGGTAATTTTTTTTTTTTTTTTTTTTTTTTTTTTTTTTGGAAGTAAAAGACTCGCCCCAACCCCCTGGGGACGCCCCCCAGCACAGACGGTCCCTGCAGAGCCCGATTGCCCCCGCTGGGAGCGGCGGGCGGGCTGGAGGTTTGTGGGTCAGTGGGTTGGCAGTGCCGAAGCCTCGGGGAGCTCTCGGCAGGGCGGTTCCCTCCCCTCCCTTCCCCCTCCCAAGGCTCGGGCTGTGGCCGGTAGGAGCCGGCCGGCTCCGCTTTGTGTTGTGTAAGCGGATGTTAATGGCCGGCCCCGCCATGCGGTGGCTGAGGGGAATCAAAATGCCGGCTATGCTGCTGCTGCCGCCTTTGTTCCTCCTCCTCCTCCCCCCGCCCAGCCCCGGCTCTAAAATGGCAGCGGCTGGAAAATGTGGCGTAGACAGAAATGAGAGACAAAGGAAACAGCGCTGGCAGGAAGCAGCGGCCGCTCGGGAAGCGCTGTGTTGTGCTGGGAAGGATCGTTCCCAGTACCCGCCCGGCCAAAATTGGGAAGTGATCGGGGCGGGGGAGGGAGCCCTGCGCTCGGAGCCAGCGCATGGCTCAGCGCGGCACCGAGCTGCGCCTCGGGGCTTTCGCGATCAGCCTTCTCCGAACGGAGGGACCGAAGCTGAAATGGTAATAAAGTGCATGGCCCCATAAAACACCGTTGTTAAAAGAAGTCTGTCTTTTGGGATATGCAAAAAAAACGGTTTACGGGAAAGTTATCTCAAGGTTTCGTAACTGCCCCTGCCCTCTTCCAGCAATAGGAGTGTCACTGGGATGGGAAACCATTTTGATCACGGGGTAGTCCCTAGGTTTTGATGCTTGTTGTAACTTGCTGTTCAATTGCATTGTATGGAAATAGGAAAGACACGTTGTCTTAGCTTGTGAGTAAGAATTGTGGCTAGGCAGATTGTGGCATCTGCAGCTTAAAGTATGAGTTTTAAAGTTCTGGCATCCTAAAACTTCTGTAGGTAGAATTTATACATCTGAACTGTAAAGTAATGGGTGGAGTGCAGAGACGGTGGTGAAGTTGTTCAGGAAGAGGACTAAAATGTTTCTCCTGCATTCTATGATGTGTTCTTTTTGCCTAGGTTTGGAGCCCCTCGTTTTGGAGGAAGTAGAGGTGGACCTCTCTCTGGGAAGAAATTTGGAAACCCTGGGGAGAAACTTACAAAAAAGAAATGGAACTTGGATGAGCTGCCCAAATTTGAGAAGAACTTCTACCAAGAACATCCGGATGTAGTTAGACGTACTGCGGTATGTACCTGATCTGGCTCGAGCAAGAGTAAACAGAAAGTGCAAACATATTGAGGGTCATGGGGCCCAGCAGGCACAGATGGGGTAACTTAAAATATAACTTCAGTATCAGAGCTTATTTTCAATAATGGGTGTTTTGTTTTGCAGCAAGAAGTTGAACAGTACAGAGCAAGCAAAGAGGTCACAGTTAGGGGCCATAACTGTCCAAAACCAATTATCAACTTTTATGAAGCAAACTTCCCTGGTAAGTGAAGACCAGTTTACTGGTTGTTCTTCAGACTGGGTTAGGGCAACATCTGAATCTGTATGTTTAAATTTTTTTTCAAGCAAACGTTATGGAAGTAATTCAGAGGCAGAACTTCACTGAACCAACTGCTATTCAAGCACAAGGTTGGCCAGTTGCACTGAGTGGATTGGATATGGTTGGAGTGGCACAGACTGGATCAGGGAAAACGCTCTCTGTAAGTTTTGATTATAGCCTGAAATACTGCTGGATTTCAGCAGTGGCAGTATGGCATAGCCTCGTGCAGGGTGAGCACCTCTAGGAAAAGATTGTAATGTGATTTGTCTTTCTTCCAAACAGTACTTACTGCCTGCCATTGTGCATATAAATCATCAGCCATTCCTGGAGCGAGGAGATGGACCTATTGTAAGTATTCCTAAATGCAAGGGGATTTTAATTTCTAAGGACTGTATTTTACAGTCTCAGTTAGCCATGCTCATAAGAGTGCATAGCTGCATTCTGTTTCTCTGTATGAATAAAGTGATTTCCTGTTGGGGTAGTTTCCCAAGTATTCTGTAAACTCTGATTGGATCGTCCTAAAAATAGTACAGAACAGGGTTTGATTTCGGGTTATATTTTGGAAATTGCTATCCCTGGAAGCTAGTGACTTTCAGGTATCCTGCACACGTTTGGTGGTAGCTGAGATGGGAGGTAACTTGGTTTGCTGGTTTGGCTACTTAAATCTACTTCAGTCAGTCTGGCACTAAACTTTACGCTCAAAATTAGTCTCAGACTAGGATCTTGTACTGGGTATTGAGCTAAAAGATGGGCATCCTATTTCCAGTGTCTTGTGTTGGCACCAACCCGTGAACTGGCCCAACAAGTGCAGCAGGTAGCTGCAGAGTACAGCAGAGCATGTCGTTTGAAGTCCACGTGTATTTATGGAGGTGCTCCAAAGGGACCACAAATCCGTGACCTGGAAAGAGGTATGGATCAGCCTCCGATGCATGTCTGTCTGGGGCAACGTGGAAACTGCTTCAGCTGATGGGACTGCTTGGTTTTAGGTGTGGAAATCTGCATTGCAACGCCTGGAAGACTTATAGACTTCTTAGAAGCTGGAAAGACCAATCTCAGGAGGTGTACTTACCTTGTCCTTGATGAAGCTGACAGGATGCTTGACATGGGATTTGAACCTCAGATCAGAAAAATTGTGGATCAGATAAGAGTGAGTATAAATGGTTCATGCATTTATCACTATAGCAGATATAAACTACTGCCACTACCCTTGTTAAAGCAAGAGCGATGCAAGCCTGGGTAGTTTTGGTTGGGCATTTAACTTAGGCCTCTACTGATCTTTCATTGATCTGATCTTTTCTAGCCTGACAGGCAGACTCTGATGTGGAGTGCCACATGGCCTAAGGAAGTGAGGCAGCTGGCTGAAGATTTCTTGAAAGAATATGTGCACATCAACATTGGTGCACTGGAACTGAGTGCAAACCACAACATTCTTCAGATTGTGGATGTGTGTCATGATGTCGAGAAAGATGACAAGTAAGTAGGCCTTGGGGGCAAAGCATTCTGTGTTTTCCGTCAGTTTTACTTTATGAACTGTGAAATGAAGGCCTTACTTTGATGGATTTTTGACATCAGTCTGAGGCAACTTAAAGGCAAGAAATCAGTTTAAACTTGTCTTAAGCTCTAACCATAATCTCTTAAAAATAGGCTTATTCGTTTGATGGAAGGCTTAAAGACAAGAAATCAGTTTAAACTTCTACAGTAGAAAGCAGTCTTAAGCTCTAACCATAATCTCTTAAAAATAGGCTTATTCGTTTGATGGAAGAAATCATGAGCGAGAAGGAAAACAAAACAATTGTTTTTGTGGAAACCAAAAGGCGTTGTGATGATCTTACCAGAAAAATGAGGAGAGATGGGTGAGTAGTAGCTGGGACTTCACTGAACAACCCCAATAGTCTTGCATGTGCTCTTGACCACTACAGTTAAGCATCAAAACTGTCAGTGACAGCAGCTATCAGCTACAATGCCTGGACTGGAATTTGCCATAGCCTAGTTTTTGACTAATGAAACCACAAAGTTGGGGTGTTGTTGGGTCAGTCAAGCTGTTGTGTTTTCAGGTGGCCAGCGATGGGTATTCACGGTGATAAAAGTCAGCAGGAGCGGGACTGGGTTCTAAATGGTGAGTGTTTCAGCAATTTCTGCAAGCATCCTGACGTGTGTTGCTTCAGGAAAAAAAATGGATTAACTTCTTGTGTTACAGAATTCAAACATGGAAAAGCACCAATCCTGATTGCTACAGATGTTGCATCCAGAGGTCTAGGTTAGTAAAACTCGTAATGCCAGTTGCCCAAAGCTTTTAAAGAAAGTCTATTGCTTTCTTTAACCTCTGCATTTTTCTAAGTTTTCTTCACATAAAGGTGCAGTCTTTGTGGCAAGGCCTAGGCATGACAATCGGAGGACTCGAGGGGGATGGAGGACTAGTGGAAATGATCGGCTGGCTGCTTCCAGTCAAATAGAGAGGTGAA